ATGCATGCATGCATGGATGAATGCATGCATGGGTGAAGTGAATGGGGGATGGATCTCTGAGTGAGAGTGACTGGCGACCCTTCCATAATTAAATGAGTCCTGTAGCTTGTGTCTTCTCCTGACCTGACTACAGATTACAAAATGTCCACTCTTTGTTGTTGTTGTTAAGTGACAAGAGGTCAATTCTGACTCACAGTGACCCTGTATTGGGTTTCTGAGGAGCAACTGGCGGGTCTGAACCACCGACATTGCTATTTGAAGTACAATCTTATCTTATGGTGCCACAGTCTTTGTTGTTGTTAAGTGCCGTCGAGTCAGTTCTGACCCATAGCGATCCTGAACAGGGTTTCTGAGGCTGTAAATCTTTATGGGAGCAGAAGACCTCATCTTTCTCCCACGGAGCAGCTGGTAGTTTCGAACTGCTGACCTTGCGGTTCACAGCCCGATTCGTAACCACTACACTACCAGAGCTCCTTAGTGATCTGAAAATAGCACTGCAGGTGATGGAATAAGGGGGTACAACTTTGCTAGGGCTCGTGAATTCAACAACTGGAGGAAGATATTGGTACACTACCTTAGTAGTTCTTTGTGTTATATCCTGGGAATGGAGAAGGCACATTGCTAAGCTGTATGCTGCCCAGTATTATTGACAGGGTCAACAAAACTCCTAATACCAGTTTGGTAATCAACTAAAGGAGGTTGGTCTTGTCTCCTGAGGAAAGGAACAGTAGAACAGGAGAGTGGATGAAGTCAGGCACTCATTCCAGTATTTGGAATGGAAAGGTAACCACTAGTTTCAGAGTCTAATGGAAGACATTTCTTGCTTCTTTAGCCCTAGTTTGAAAGAAAAGTTAAACATCATATATGGGGTGTAAGGAGTATGTATAGGAGACCTAGTGGTGCTGGATGACAAGCAGTGGACTGCTAACTGCAAAGTTGGTAGTTCAAACCCACCAGTTGCTCCACAGAAAACAGAAAAGGTTTTCAATTCCCCTAACTATTTACAGCCTTGGAGATCCTGTACCAGGTCACTGTTAGTTGGAATCAACTCAATGGCAGTAGGCTTTTGATATATGTGATTCTTTCAATCATGGTGTTGTTGTTGTTGTTGTTAAGTGCCATTGAGTCGATTCTGACCCATAGCAACCCTGAACACGGTTTCCAAGGCTGCAAATCTTTACAGGAGCAGAAAGCCTCATCTTTCTCCCGTGGAGCACTGGTAGTTTTGAACTGCTGACTTTGTGGTTCACAACCCAATTCATAACCACTACGCTACCAGAGCTCCTTTTCAATCATGGTACTGTAATATTCAAAGGCCAGTGTAACAAATAATCCCAAGGAGATAGTGGGGAAACAAGCGCACAGTGTTTATGGCTTTAAGTGATGTGTGTGTGTGTGTGTGTGTGTTTAAGATCTTCCCTTGAGGCTGTGTGCTGATGACCGGGGAGGCAGGCTTGCAGGGTATACCCTTAGGTTGGTTGATGATGCATAGAGGAGATTATAACCATGGCAGTGAAACGATATATGATAGGATGAATGTAAAGCTAGTGTTCTCCCATGTAAAGTATCACATAATTCACAATAAAACATTTTTAAAAAAAATCTTCCCTTGGGACCAAGAGACTCTGACATTTAAATAAATCCATATACCCTTACCTTATCCCCAACCATATCTTAACCTTAGCTGCCATGAATTACACTGACCTTCTTCTGGGTTTTGTTTTGTCTGACCCCCTTCTACCAGGAGATCGATGGGAATGCGCTACTGTTGCTGAAGAGTGACATGATCATGAAGTACCTAGGCCTAAAGCTGGGCCCTGCACTCAAACTCTGCTACCATATAGATAAACTGAAGCAAGCCAAGTTCTGAAGCTTTTAAAGAGAGACAAAATCCAAGGCAAGAGATCTCAAGGCCATTTCTGCCTTACCAACACCCAACCACCATCACAGAATAGATTCTCCTCTTAAAAATAACAACCACAATGACTTGGCATTGTTATAAAACTTGTGCATCTTTGCCTTTTCAAAAATTCAATATGGCCCGTTTGAAAAATTCCTCTGTGTTAACGATTGCCAAAAAATTACCAAAAGCCTATCCTTTTGAACATCCCTAATATGTTGATTGCTCTTAGAATTGGTCTTATTTTTATAATGAGAACGTGGGAACTGAATGCTATCACACAAAGAGAGCCCTGGAGGAGTCAAAGGGTGTGAGGAGAAGAACTTAAGTTCCTGCAGAACGTCTACTGCAGCATCCCCTGTCATTAACTCTAACCTGGAGACCTATTCCAGTATGAGCCTTGCTTGAGTCCACTAGGGAAACTGTCTTCTGAGGTTGACTGCTTCACCTTGCACTATCTGGAAAACTTGAATTCTTTTACTCCCTAAAAGAGAAGGAAAACACCTGTGTTTTTGAGTTGTTGTTTTTTTTTTCCTGTTTCTTCCCCATTTCTAGTTACCTAAAGTACTGTGTTTCCCCACTAGAGGGCAGACTACCAATGAAATTTTAGGACTCTTACTCTTTGTAGTAGCATGATTATTCTGTACTCAGCAGGTAGATAGATGGGTTAAGGCTTTTGTGAACAAGATCTGGCCTGTACAAAAATAGGAAATTTATTCCACAGTCAGTACCACAGATTGCAATTTGGGAAGAAACCGCCTTCCGGAAAGTTCTAGTTCACATCCAATCATTATTGACTGTCTGATGCACAAGCAGCAAAGGCAAGAATTTGAAACCACCGTCTGTCCAGTTTGGGCTTTGGTGTTCCCTTCACTTCCAGAATCTTTACTGAGGTGTCAATGTGTTGGCATACTGAAAAGTCTTACATGTAACCATGGGTGCTTATTTTGAAAAAGAACAATGTCTCAACTAAGCTTTGAAATGAGAAAGTTGATTTTTAGTTACATTGCTGGCTTATGTAGTTGTATCTGTGGCTAATTTTTCTAGTCCTCAACAAATACACAGACATGCTATTATTGGGTTTAATTCAATTTACAAATAGGTTTTCTTTCTCCATCAAAGAGTAGTAGAAAGAAAAATGATTTTTCTACCCCTTTGCAGCAGTGCCTAGAGGCAGCTGATGAATCCTTAATTTGCTAGACAGACAACTTCTTTGCTGTTCTTCTTTTTAACCTTCTCCTTCCCCTGTCCCCCTTTCTCTTTTTAATTTCTCTTTTTCACAGAACAGGAAACATCTTTGAACTGATTAATTCCCATAAGGAGCTGTGGTGGTGTAGTGCTTACGAATAGGCCTGCTAACTTAGGGTCAGCAGTTTGAAACTACCAGCTGTTCCTGGGGAGAAAGATGAGGCTTTCTGCTCCTGTAAAGATTTATAGCCTTGGAAACTCTGTATAGGGTCGCTATGAGTCAGAACTGACTCACGGCACATAACCACCACCACCATAGGTATATCCTCTTCCTTAAAGAACATTAATAGTGGTAGAGGTATGGAGATGAATATTAATTTTGTGATGTCTGGGAGGGTGAGGGTCAAGGAAAACTCAAGACCTCCCTTAGTCCAAATCTGAATTAGGAAAGGCACATATTCAGCTGACCAGGGGAGCAAGGTGGGCTCTGAGCTGTCTCATGCCCTTGCCAAGCTCCTTGCATAGAAAAACACCTGCACTTGAGCACAGTCCTGATCAAATTTGCATATTGACCTTCGATGGTAGCATAGGAGCTCTGGTAGCTTATAGTTACAAATTGGGCTGCTAACCTCAAGGTTGGTAGTTCAAAACTACCAACAGTTCCATGGGAGAAAGATGAGGCTTTCTGTTCCTGTAAAGATGTACAGCTTCAGAAACCCTATACATGGTCTGTATACATTGGGACCGACTCCACAGCACACCACCACCATAAATCAATTTGGATTTAGTTGAAGACCATAAGAAATATTTTGCTTCATGCGGTTTAGTGAATCACATTGCTGGGCTGAAGTTAGATAATTTCCTTCAAAAAGTCATGGATAGTTTATATATATTCCATACTGCCAGTGGCAAAATAGACTCAGAAAATCCCAAGACAACCTATTTCCTATCCCACTGATTTTGCTCAATCCCCTTCCATCAATATAAACCAGCTGTCCTTAAGTCTATTCCAACTCATGACACTATGGATGTCAAAGTAGAACTCGGCTCTATAGGGTTTTCAATGGCTGAGTTTTCAGAACTCGATCTCCAAGGCTTTCTTCTGAGGTGCCTCTGGGTAGACTTACTCCGCCAACTTTTCAGTTAGCAGCTCAGTGTGCTGATCATTTGTACCACTCTGGGACAGCTCCATCAACATATACCTCATGTAATGACCTTCAATATTAAGCTTCCAAAACTTCGTCTCCAACCTCACTAGTACTTCCCTCACTACAAAAACATGAACGTGCTACTCCAAAATTAAAACCAACCCCAAAACAATGCTGAAGAGAAAAGGACTCATTGCAGGAGAGAGAGATTTTCCCACATCAAGTCTAGGAGGAAGCTGTCTCATGGAGGTGCTATCTCATTTTGCATTAAACTTTAAGCAGGACAGATTGCTGAAGCCATGATATTTAAGCTTTGACTTTTTAAATTCTTCATTACTCTTAAAATGAATGCTCCCATATTAGAGAATAACCCAGAGAGGAAATTCTTCTTCCTTGCCTGTTTTTGCAATGAAATGCAATTAGCCAACAAAATTATTGTAGCAATACTGCAGTTATAATTAATTTTCACCCCTCTCAAAAATCTTGTCATACTAGGCTGCTAAATAGCTTAGCAAATGTAAAACATGCCAGGCCATTTCCTCTAAACAGACCTTAAAGAGGCAGGCCACATGTGTCACTCTCTTCTAAATGAGGGTTTACTTGGGGACCTCACACTTGTACAAATATGGTACTTGTTATTCCATTGGAGTAGCATTGCTTCAGGTGGCAACAAATAATGATATCATGTTTGCATAATGCCAAGTTAAAGTGTGTGTGTGTGCGCACGCACGTGCACATTCATGTTCCAAACATTCCAATTACATTTGTCTGTTAAACATTAAAAAAAAAAAAAATCAAGAGACAATTCTATTGCCCAAGGCATTTTAAATATTTTATGAAGCACATTATTCTCTTGTGAAGATTACAGTAAAAGATAAGGGTTTTATCTTTCTCTGTGTGTGTGTGTGTGTTTAGAAAATCCTTGGAAGTGTATCAGCTATCACATTTGCTTGATTTAAACTTCTCTCCAGCTTACAAATCATCCTTGGTAACACAGAAGCAGAGTCTGTTCAAATCTTCCTATCCGTTGTTACTGCTGGGTGTTACTGCGTAGTGTGCCCTAGGGGCAGCTGGGTGGGCTGGAAGGTTCTGGAATTCTGGACCTGCCCCCTCAGGAGGCTAACTAGAGGCACGAGGCCTGTGGTTCTGTATGACTGGTTTTCCATGGGGCCTTTCTGAGGAAACCACTAGTGAGGGAAAAGCTCCCTTGAGTACCTGGTTCTGTGCCTGCTGCTCCGGGCTCCCATAGTTCCCCTTCAGCAGGGAAAACAGAATGAAGGGACTTTTCAGAAGAAGCAAATATATCAAAATACATTGGGAAGGAACGCTGAGCTAAAGTTGGTTTGCTTGATGAGGAAATGGATGAGGAAGGAAGGATAAAATGATACATTTCTAAATAAAGCAATAAAAGAGAAGCTCTTCTCATGCTCCCAACCCTGTAAACTGCAATAACATATTGCTATATTCTTGTGCTGTCTAGAGTATTTCTTATTTTTTAAATTAAATTTATTTTTTAAAAATAATTTTTGAGATTATTTTAGGAAAATTTTGTCATATCACCTGAAGATAAATGAAAATGACCATAGGTGATCTGTGACTCAAATTCAGTCATTGCAGAAGCTATAGAGAGATGACAATATTCTAAAGCAATAACCAGGTTTCCATATGGGTGAACAGAAAATGAGTGCTATTTGATGTATATTCTGAGGGGCACCTTTTCAATTCTCCTCCACTGGGAAACAGAGGATGATGGGCTTCCATTCACAATTACTTTTTAACATCAGATAACAAGACAGAAAGAATAATAATTATAAATAAAGGTACAATGTTTTGTAAAGGAGAGGGTGTGAGTTAGTTATTGTCACAAATACACTCCAAGAACTTTCCCAATATCTTGCCATGAGCTTGGATTCCACCATGGCAGAGGACAGCCACACTGAGAGCCCTAGAGTCCAGTTCAGCAGATAGTGGCTGTCCAGAGATACTCTTTTCTGTTTCCAGATGGTGATGTCATCCTCAGCAGGCAGGTTCTGGCTACACCCACATATCACCTGTGCTTCCAGCCCAATTCCAGGGGGACAAGCACAGTTTCCAGAGCGCCAGCCCCTCTAAGGAGTCCTGGTGTGGCACTGCAGGATAAGCACTGGACCACAAGGTTTGTTTAAACTGCAAGGTCAGCGGTTCAAACTCACCAGCAACTCCTCAAAAACTCTCTACAGGGTCACTATGAGTTGGAACTGACTGGATGGCATTTGACAACAATAACAATCCCCTCCAAAGATTGTCATTCTCCAAAATGATTCCTTCATGGACAATGGGAAGTTGGATTTTGCAAAGCTAGCATGTACAGTCCCCAGGCTACAAAAGAGATTCCTTTCTAAGTGTGTCTTTAAATTGAATTTATAGGTAAATTGAAACAGGTGCATACAGGTCTCATTTAGCCTTACTTGGGCCCAATAAAAGGCCAGAAGTCTTTTCCATGATTTAAAAGCTGCCCATGCCACAAGTAAGGAGCTCTGGTAGCGTAGTGGTTACGAATGGGGCTGCGAACCGCAAGGTCAGCAGTTCGAAACTACCAGCTGCTCTGCGGGAGAAAGATGAGGCGTTCTGCTCCCGTAAAGATTTACAGCCTCG